ATGATAAGAATGCCGAAGCATCTAATCTCTATAATATTGAGTCAACTAGTATCACAAACTCTAAATTTAGCTTTAAAGATTTGGAAGATTATTCAGAAAGCAAGTGTAAAGATGGTAATGGAATTTTCACACACACACACACACACACACACACACACACACACACACACACACACACACACACACACACACACACACACACACACACACACACACACACACACACACACCACACGCACGCACACACACACACGCACACACACACACGCACGCACGCACGCACAACAAACACACACACGCACGCACAAACACACACGCCCCCCACACGCACGCACACACGCACACACACGCACACGCACGCACGCACCCCCCCGCACGCAGAGTTTGAAAAATTTTATTTCATTCTTTTCCATAATTTGATACAATGTTTTTTTTCTAGAATGAATGGAAGACTGTCCGTGGATTATGCTCAAATAAGAACCTTAAGTACAAACATTGCTCTTTTCTAAAGCTCTTTCTATAGCAGAGATGCTGAATAATCTTTGCTTTATAAATTCTTCAATTGCTTTGAGTTAAAGGGTATTTGAGAAAGGCTTTTATGTTGGTAAAAAAAGTTATAGGTTTTCCTTGGTTTATCTTTCCTGTCAAAATTTGAAAGTGATTGAACGTGTTGCTTAGGAAAACATTAACGGTAATCAATCTTTACTCAGATTTTTACTTTAATATGCAAAAGTAAAAATTCATTTGACATTAAAATAAAAAAAACAAAATGTAAAACAAATTAATGAGGGGAATATGTAATTATTCTAACAGAAATAAGGTTTTGATTAAAATATCCCACTCTTTACATCACAATAAAACTTCCTATTAGTATGAAAAAATATTTTTATAAAAAACTTCTTAATATTTGATTTTCAATAACAAGCAAGGAAAGCATTAAATGGGGCATTACTACTCGAATGGGGAATACACCGATGATGTAAAATAGAAAAGAGCATTTGTTAACTAGTTCACATAAAGAGAATTTATTTTACCCTAACTATTCACTGTCTGGAAATATTTTTCGGTAATTATAGCCATTGCATTGCAAGTAAGTAGTTTAAAATTTTAACAACTAGTTCGAGTCATCTGATAAAGGTGAATCTGGTTAAAAATAGAAGAATAATTCAAAAATAAATATGAATCCTTCAGTAAATTATGAAAAATAATTGTAAAAAATTGCGTTTCTTTTGTTTTGATACGCAATAACGGAACATTTCCTGTGATACTCTTATCGGAGTCCTTGACTAAATATTTTCGGAAAATAAAATGTTTTCCTTAGGAAGCGTTTCGTGTTACAGTACACAATTAGAAAGACACATCCTTTAGAGAGTGGTATTCTTAATAAATTCCGCAATTTCTAATGTAGCGGGACAAAATTAATGTCCCCGCGTTAATGACTGAAGAAAAAAAACTAAATTATGGATTGTTTAATTAATTTTCAATGGATTGCTTATTAAATTCTAATTCAAAAAATAATAAATTGTAAAATTACTTTCCGTTGTCGAGGAGTTTCAAGACATCGTACACTAGCTTGTTAATCTAAGATATCGGTTCAATCATGGTATGTTTTAAGAAACTGAAAAAGCAGTAGGAAATCATTTGTGTGGAAGATATATAGTTCTCTAATAATTTTCCCAAACACCTTCTGAATTTATGATCGGATTGAATGAAAATTTTAGTGTGTTAACTCTTAGAACAGTCCCTACTTATTTCTAGAAGAATTCCAAAAGGAAAGAAATTGCTTAAAAATTTAACCATGTTTATTAATTAACTCATTACTACTATAATTTAGTTTCTATTGGACCATTAACAATATTCTATACAATTGATCCAGATCCCAAGAAAATTAGGGAAGTTATTAAGGTTGTCTCCTTTTCTTCAATAGATAGCCATTAATTTTTAATTTGAAATAATTTCTCTTCCACGTTCAGTAAAAAGTTCTATTCCGTTAGAGCGGCCTCATGTGTTGCATCCATGAGCGTTGATGAGGATCGGAATGACAAAAGAGCCATTGTCTCTTAATGGGTCTCTTTGCAATGGAAGAAAATGGCACTCACTGGATATCCGGGCAAGGGCTCCCTCAGAAGCAGATCACCCAGACAATCGTCGCAGTACTTTGCCAGCTTGTATTGTTGCTTCTTGCTGCAAAGAAAAATGACAAAAGTTATTTGTATAAAAATATATAAATCAGTAAATGTGGGATGTTTTTTTTGGAAATTTCATGTCTTTAATTTTCATTTAAATTATTGAGCTCTAAAACAATGATAATAAAGCTGAGTCTCATCACTTATCGTTTTACATAATTTCAAAAAAAATTTTAAAAATAAATAAATGAAAATTAATTAATAATAATATCGATAATAATAAAAAATAAATAAATAATGCAAAATTAAACATATAACAGAATTTGTCACATATACAGGATGATTCGCTACCAAACCGACCCACTGGTTGGGTGTGTAGGGGTTACACAAACAATTCGGAATCCCATAGGAATGAAAGGTCGCAAATGCCGTAGTCGCGAGCTATGGTGCAAAAAAGCAGAGAAAAAAGAACAGAAACTTCAAATCATTAATGAGATAGAAAACATTTGATTGAGTGATTGTAGTAAAACAGGTGTTCGAAAGTGCATAAATTTCTTCTAGGTTTACATAAAGAGTTGAGTGTACGAAACGCATGTTCCTTCAGTTGAAGGAAACACTGGAATACCTGCAGGCTGCCGAGAGGATACGTGACATGCCAGGAACTTTACAGAACGTAAGGAATTTCATGCAGCGTCGTTGTCAGGCCTACCAGACGGCTTCTAGTCGTAATTTTGAGTGCCTGTTGCAGTACAACTGTTCAATAAAATGTCCCATTAATGTGTTGCTATTTCTGTTCTTTTTCCCTTGCTTCTTTGCAGCATAGCTCGTAACTGCGACATTTGCTGCCCTGAATTCCCATGTGATTCCGAGTCGTCCATGAATCTACACAGCCTACCATCTTGTCGGTCAGGTCGGTTTACCTGTATATATCAATTGAACGATGTTTCTCACATCACACATATGAATATGTCTATGATAATCTTCTTTAAACAACGTGTAGTAAGAAATGCGTTTAAATTAATGAAAAATAGACAAACATTATTAATACATTTACAAAGTATTTTAAAAGAGGATGTTTATGCTAAATCGATAAGCAGAGCTTTTGTACCCCATTGCTTTAATCAAGGGACATTTCTGATAAGTAATAATTTTTGAATTTATTAAAAAGTTATCTGACTCTTTACTAACTTATACTAATTATTTAATAAGAATCCTCCTGTAAAAGGCATATAATTAGAAACCCAGAGGTTCCAGGGCACTTCAATCAAACCGGAATGCATCGTAATGCTATACGTGAAATAAAACCTTTTAAGCATACTTGAAATGGTTTCGAAATGTCCTAAAATATTTGGAAGAGGTATGAAATAATTTTTCGAAAAGAAAATTTGAAAATCGGCCTTTGTAGTTACACGAGGTAGGATTCAAAAGCTCTCGAACTGAGGGCATAATTAAAAAAAAATATTACCAATTAAATTGCTGAAACACATTCTTCTCTGAAAAAAGACCTCTGAGCAACAACATACTTTTTCTACTTGTGAAGGTCATCTAAATAATATGGAATCCATTTTTAGCAATCTCGTTTTATTCAGCCTGAAATGCACTTTTAATTTCATCTGCAGATTGGAATCAATGACCCTGAACGCAATGTGCAAGTTTTGAAAATATTTTAAAGTGTCACAGGGGTTGAAATCAGGGGGAATTTAAGGAAGATATGGCAAAATAGTTGTTTTCGTTTTCACAACGTCGTTGTTCGAAGCTTATTCTTGCATTCCACCGCAGAAATCTTTTCAATGTTTTCAGGGGTGCTAGAAGTCTGCGGACATCCAGAGCGTTTGACGTCTTCGACACTTTTCCCGCCTTCCCTGAAACGTTGATGTTATCCAAAAGCTTGCGTTCGCGATAATGTATCACTGCTGTGAATATGCTTCAACATTTCGTGTCTCCGTGTGGCACTCTACAAAATATACTTTCTACAAAATTTAATATTCATTCTCTGCTCTTCAAACGTCATTTCTTTCAATCGCCGGTTACTTGATGCATCCGCTTACAAAATACGACGCCGTGGCGAGCCTTTAACCACTTGATTTAGAACAAATCATTTTTAGGAAAGAGGAAGAATGCAGTGACACCGAAACGTTATCGTATTCACCCGACTGCAAATTTTTCACGTTGTAGGCTCAGTCCGATAACTTTTGAATTCTACCTCGTGTATGTATGACTTTCTTGGATTAATAGGAAAATGGAAGGGTGTAGAAATGTACGTAAAAACATAAATTCATTTGAAACATAGATAGATGAATAAAAACGCTTGTTAGAAACTGGCTGAAGTAGAAAGAAGGCCGAAATGAGGTCTCACCTGCAGTGGTTCTCAAACGAGAGTATGATTGGGTACTCTGACGTGACGAAAGCACAGTCTCGAATGGCGGCAATGACATCCTGCAACATTTCAAAGAAGTCTTTGAATAAACTTAGCTTTAAAATGCAGGCATTTCACTTTTTAGAATTTCATAATCGAATAACTTCATCAGTTTTTTTTATTTGGAGAATATTATTTGACAATTATAGAAATTGATGAAGGAAACAAGTAATATATAAAAAAAATTAAGTAAATTCGCCTTAGGTCAACAAAGAAAACTTTTTTTAAAAAACTTTTTGTCAAATGGTTATAATTAATATAAATATGTATATACATATAGTAGAATCACACTACTAAGTGACAAAATAGAAACGATTTTCCTTTCATTTTTCCCATTTTCCTATCTATATAGGGTATTGGACTATTTTTGTTTGTTTGTTACTATTTAATCATTAACTAAACTTAATTATTTTATAAAATAGTATAGTAAAAAAGAAATCCCATTCTCAGAAGTTACGCCATGCTGGTAGCATTCGAACCCCCGACCTTTGGATTAGAAGTCCAACGCACTATCTAATGCGCTACTGGAACGCAACGAATGGTTTTCCTTTCTTTATATGCTGTTGGACTATTATTTTTGTTTGTTACTATTTATTTCATTTTTTAATTTAATTAATGAATTAATGTTTTAAAAAAAATGTGTAAACATCAAGTGTCATCCACTAGAAGTTCAAAAAATTATATTTGAACTTAAATGGATGAATAGAAAGTATTTTATTAACGATTGAAAATTTGAACAAGATATATATATATATATATATATAGGAAGAGAGTGAACTAATAACAGGAATTGAAAAAAGATATAGAAAATGCAAAATGACAGAATATTAACCCTACTCTGTCAAAGAGTGTTCTATGAGTACCTCCTACCTTGAAAAGGATGTCCGTGCACATGGCCTTCCCGTGCGTGATGATGGGCTCTTCGTCCTCTCCTTTGCCATCCCAACAATCTAGCTCAACGCACCTGCAGAAATACCGACCCATTTAGAAATGAATTTAGTGTATGTCGCCGGTAAGTTTGGTTGAGATGTGTGCTCACCTGCATCCTGCCAGCAACACTTGTCGGTACATCTCAACGGACGACTTTCCTCCGAATTGTCGTCCCGTCAAGTAAGTGTTATGCGAGGAGTTGATGTAATAGTGAGCTAAAGGTTGGTCCATGTCCATGTAAATATCCAGCCGGTCCAGGAACACCGGAGCGTTCTCGTCAGACATCAGGTACCTGATCAGACCGTCCTGACTCAAAAGACCTGCGGAAACACACATTCAGATTCTCGCTGGGATTTCACTTTTAAAATATGAGTGGCATATACAGAGCTCCATGCTCTAATATGAAACAAGCACTTATCTATATACATTAGATTTCGTTATGCGTTAACAAAATGGTATTTCTCAGTTGCTTAAGGCAAATTATAGATGGATACATTGTAAAAAATTCTTAGAAACATTTATTCCTTTCTCGTGCAAAGATACAAAACAGTGTAAACACTTTGTTATCCTCTTTTAGATAATTTACGCTGGCAGATTTATAATTTTTGGGACAGAATCAAAGAGCTTTCCATTTTTTTACCTAACGCATGCTCAGTCATAACAGTATTGAAGTCAAAATATTGTTAAAGTAAATAAGTAATTATGAATTTAGTTTTATAAAACTGAACTCAATTTTAACTCGTGAAGTTCAATAATAAATGTGTATAAATCTGGTTCTATTCGGTGTTATCCTTTAAACCTTCATATCAAAAATTATATGAAATGTATTAGACACCTTTGTGAACAATATACAGAAGAATGGAGTCAGAATATGGGGGAAATGTTTCTAATCCATTATTTACCATTGACGTCCAACGGTCATATGTGAAAACACTGCTCATATTCATAACTTGATTTTCTCTCAGTCATTGATTGGCTATCAATGTAGAATAAATGAGAAAGATTAAAAAACCTTAGATGTTGTTAAACATATCAACACACTTAGAACGCAAACAAAATATTTATTTCAGTCGAAGTGTTTCAATATTTTGTGAAGAAAAATTTGTAGCACGATAATTAATACCCTCCTTAGGGTAGGTGGGGCTGTTTTGCCATTAATTATTGTACTGCATGTTCAATATGCTGGCAATTGGAAAAATACAGAATCCGTGCAAGTCACAAGTATATGCAAATATTGTACGGTTTTCTGAATTTTTTCTTCCTCTTTATTTGAACTAGTGTATGGTTGCTATACATTCTGCAATTAAAAGGATTTTCAGTTTATAAGTATATTGTATAAAACTTTTCTTTATTCTAAAAATACTGCAGACACTCACGTGTCTTGGGAATAAATATTTAATGTTTGAGGAAAGTGTGCAGGTAAATAAAATGAAAGTAATAATTTGCTTTCTCCATTGACGTTTCTTTGCTCTCACCTTGGGTCGCTAATTCTGTGTTTCTCTCATAAGTGTTGATGATCTCTCTTGCTCTCAGTTCATCATAGAAGGGATACAGAATCTCGTTCAGACGAGGATCTCTTTGTTTCTGAAAGGAGAGAGTGGAAGTGTTTCAAATGGAAACCATCTGCTTAGAACAGGCTTAGATAGACATTATTACAAATCGCTTACTTTGTTTAAAAAATTGATGAGTTGTTTCACTGTAATGGTCTCACTTTTGTCTTGAGTTCTATAAAAAAAACAGAAATATTAGCTTAAACAATAATTCAAACAACATATTAATAAAACTTTCACATTTGATGCACTTTAAACTGAGTTAACAAAGTAATAAAAAGTATTTTGATGCAAAAATTTAGCATATACGAAAAAAAAAATTATTTCATTTTTAAGAGTGGCTCCTTTTAAAAAAAAAATGAAGTAAAAAGAGATTTTTTTTTACTGCTCTACTTAAAACTAAGAAATAAATTAGTGAATAAAATTAAAAATAGATGAAAAAAATCCTTAAAGCTTTATTAAATCTCCATTTCTGCTACATTAGTGCATTTCTACTGATGATTCGATTGGCACGAGCTTAAATTTGTTTTCAAACAAGATGATGACTGCTGATTCATCCCTTGTAACACATTCTATAATTAACGTGTTTACACTTCCTTGAACAATAATTGAACGCGAAAGGATGCTAAAATATCCTGCAAATACAAATTGATGTAAGTTCCTAAATGTATCTTCAATTAGTTAGTCAAATATCAGCACTATAAATAATTTTTTTAAAGATTTGTGATCTACTATTACCATGGACAACGTCGTGGTCACTTCTGATAGAGTGAGTGAGTTTTAACTTCGCACTGTTCAGCTACTCGAGGGCTTTTGGCGATGGACCTCGTCATTTTGAACCATGGTCAAGTGATGAGGACAACACCTAAGCTAGTACCACCTCTCCTAACTACTACACCACACCATCGAGAGGAAGTTTGAGCCTCCCAACAGACTCAACGTACATCGCTTCTCTACAGGGCAGGTCTTCAGTGGTACAAGTCTGGAACTCATGACACGCCTGCCACGAGTACGTTATCTTGACCACTAGGCTACCGCGGCCACTACTTCTGATAGAAAACTGGTGTTCGTAAATGAGAGGTTTAGTGGGTGAGAACTAAACATTCGGGATTTTAATGTGAAATAATTAAAGAGAAGCTCTAAAAATGTTTAAAAATTAAAGTACAATAAATACTTAAAAAAATAATTTTATTTAAAAGGTAGTGATGTGTAGAAAGAATAACTTCCATTCTAAAGCATTTAAAAATATTTTAAATACGAAATTAGTTACGTCAAAATAAAATAGTTCCACTGAAAAATATATACTTGTTTATAGAAGCATATTATAAAGAGAATAATCTCGCATACATGTTTTTAAATAATTCTTCAATGTCGCTTCTGGGACAGAGTTTGTTGTACAACTGATGGAACTTCTCAAAGGTGAAATCTCTTCCGTCAATCACATCATTCTGAAAGCAAGAGGCAAGAAAAATTATTTGATACAGCAATTATTTTGGACAGCAAGTTATCATCTTCCATCCTAGGCTTAATGAATTTTTTCACATAATTTAAATTACCGTATTTACTCGAATCTAAGTCGCACTATTCAAAATTGAGCGCGGCATAGAATCGAAGGCAAAAAAATTCGTTGGATAGTTTCCACCCCTTTCAAAAGAAAAAATGGAACCATCTAATCTGGCCGTTTGCATCGATGACTTAGCCCATTCCGCAGTTTGTCTCCAGTATTCAATCTATCCTAAACATCTTTGTCTGCTAGAATTTAGGAAATATTTTTTTTATATCACCAAAACATAAAAGATATTGGCAATAGCCTCAAGATGAGAGTTTACTATGTTGCAAGTATGAAAAAGCTGGCAATTTAAAATCAGAAGAAACGGAAACAGAACAGCGACCTCTAAAACTTTGACACGAATGAAATAATTATACGTCGAGGGCGTAAACAAAATCACATAATTTTTGCTTGTAAATATTCTTTGATAATTCTTTTACATTTTCGTTTTTGTACAATAAATTCTTTTAAACATATGTTTTGTATAATAAATGCGTTGGATGGCAAGGAGGACGACACAGTGTGGGAAAATAGTGAATCCAGCACCCATTCCGAAGTCTGTTGTGACAATGGGAGTGACGAATCATTTTCGAAACATACATAGGATACTTACGTTTAGAATACTTATAGGTCCATGTATGTATTTGAAGGTTTTTAAAACTGGTAAAATAAATTAATTATTAACTAAAAATTATTTATCATCAAAAAATATTTTTAAAAAAAATTTCTAAAGTATCGGATATTGATGAACTTTTTACAAATTTTTTTAGTTTTTCTGAAAAACGCGTAGAGAATTGGTGTGCGGATTAGAATCGATGGCGGCTTAGATTCGAGTAAATACGGCATTTGAAATAAAAGTGTTTAATGGAAAATTCAATCAAGCAGAAATTTAGGAGTAAAATATATAAAAATATTGATGCCAAGCCTTAAAATATCCATTAACCTAGATTTTAAACTAAAAAAGAACCGAGCCAAAGATTTACTTCAATGTAGAAATATTTTAATGTAATTCTCGGAAAAAATCTTAAAAAAATTCTTCAACATTCATAATATCAACAAAAGGATACGTTTAATTTTATGTTACAAACTGACTGCTAACTACAATGGTAAAAAAATTAAAATATTTCTTAGAAATCGAACCCATGCTATCCATTTATATATAGATTCCTTGTTCTGAATAAGAATAAAACTCGAAATGTGCCACTTACCTTTCCATTGGGCAGCCCGACTTCTCCTATACACTGATACACTAGTTTCTCTGTTTTACCAGAAGCAAAGGTTTGAGCTATCCTGGAAGACACAATACAGCGATTTCATTGAAAGATAACCATTATGCGTGTGTGTATTTATAATGAGATTCAAAACAAATCAATTTAACTAAGATATTTATACATGAATTAATTGAAGTAAATAAATTCTCTCTCTTTATCGATACCCATCATATAATTGTATTTAATGCATAGATATATTTGATACTAAACAGTATCTTTGTCTAAAC